AGGGAGGCGAGTTACTCCTGTCTTCTCTTTTCCAATGGAAGAATGAAATTAAATCCCTGAGGTCTGCTGAGTTAGATAAAAAGACACATAAAATCAAATGACAGAGATGGGGAGAGAACTCCCTTTCTGTGGCACTGAAGGCCATTCTCATTTGATCCCTACAACGATTCAGTAAGGCAGGCAGGGCTTTTATCATTACCCCTGCTTTCTACAGATGAGCAGACTGGAGTTTGGAAAGGACTACAGACTTCTCCAAAATCACAAAGCCAAGTGACTGAGCAAGATGAACTTTCTAACCCAAAATGCAGAGGTTCTTTTCTTCAGTCTCTTGCATTAATTTCCAGTGTTCTCATATATTATTCAGGAGAAAGGAATTTAACGACTGGACCATCATCTCAAAATAGAAAAAAAAAGAGGCAAAGCAGAAACTCCCAAGTTCTCACTGGAACCCCCCCGCCACTCCCCCAAGTGAAAAACTGAGATAACAAGTTAGTTATTCAGTAAAGGTTTGCTGAGCACTTACAGGGTGCCAGGTCAGGTGATACAGAAGGAAAATCAGGCCATCCATGCCCGGGTAGCTCTCCATCTAGCCAAAGAAGACAAACTAGAACCTGCTCAGCTCACTGTGTGCTTGCCACATGCTTCTTTTGTCATCCATCAAGAGATCAAGGATGTGGGACAGCAGAGCAGGCATCAGTCTAACCCACAGGCGGGTCCAGTGCCGGGTATTTATCCTCATAAGAATCTCCAGTTAGAGAGCAAGACTTCAAAAAGTCATGTTTTTGAGCAACATCAGTTTTAGGAATACTAGTTATGAAGTCAACTTTGGCAAAATGTTTAAGACTTGGGCTAAAGAGAAAACAAGATCCTCAAAGCTGGAATTTCTTCAGTGAGCCATGAAAAAATAAGTAGTTTTTTGTTTTAATTCAGCCAAACTGTTATTTGGACCTGAGTTGTAGAGAAATTGTACACTTAAAACACCATTATTATCATAACAACAACAACTTATTAGGCATTGACTATATACTCCGCACTGCATTAAGAAAAAAAAATTTTTTTTTTTAAATTTCCAGTTTCTAGAACCAAGCTGGGATAATTGCTTGTGGTGAGGGTTCAGGGTTTGTATAGGAGAAATGGGTGCAAATGGTATTATTGATTCACATAAAGCTGTCTGACTTTGCAGAAGACAGTACACTGAAAACTTTCTACTAGAAGGAGGGTGGGGATAGGTGTTACAGGCAAAATCAAGGAGATGTAGACTGGGTCCCAGAGCCAGAGGACCTGAAGAAATGCTGAACTGACCACAGACTCATTATGTTGAAAAACTTGAGCTGCGACTTGGTTCCTCATTCTATACCAGATGAAGGCTGGGTAGGGACATCAGTGCCTCCCCCTGCCACCCCCGCCAGACAAATATTCTGGACTCAGAAAGAAGCATCTTTTAAGCAGGAAGAATAAATTTCTGCTGAAATAATGTATGTAAAATAACTAACATTGTCAAAATCAATCAAAGGGCAGAGGGGGAGGAAGGGAATGTTCAACATTATGTGACAAGCATGGTTCTGAGTATTAAAAACAAAATGAGAAGGGGCATTTAAAAATGCTAGACTAAAAAACAAAATAAAGCACAATAAAGAAATAAAAATGCTAGGCGAGAGTGTATTTTGGTCCATAGCCTTCCTTCCCATTTTCTCTGGGTCGCTTTGATTTATATGTGCTTTTCCTGACACCAGCACAGATTTAAAGAGCAGCCTGATACTTTTTGCAGCGTGATTCAAACTAAAAGTACAGTAATCTCCTGAGATAAGAATAATAAGTAAAAGCAATAGTCTCACTGTGAAATCACTTCTTAGTTGCTTGTCTGAATAACCTAAAAGTTTAGATAATTTATTAGACTCACTCTGGCCCCTTCAATAGAGATGTAGTCAGGGTCCTAGCGGGAAAGAATATGCCCTTTATCTTTCTGGGTCTCTCAAAACTATGTAGATTCTATGCTGGCCTCCAGTCGGGAAATCTCACCCCATGAAAGGGGAGGCTAGTGTCTTTTAGATGATGTCACACATCATTCATCTTATGTCCATGCTTTACACTCTGTCACCTTAAAACTACTGGTGCCTCTGACCCCAAAGTCCTTACCCTGATTTTTGCCACCAGCACCCACATTCTGGTACTTAAAAACAAATGATTTAAGGATAAGAATTGTTTCAGTAATTTTTGCTACATAACAAACCACCCCAAAACTTAGTGGCTTATAACAACCCCTTGCCTTTTTCTCTCCCATCAGTGGATGGCCTGGGCTCATCTGAGCTATTTACTCTGCTGGCCTCCCTTGACTTACAATCAGATGGTGGCTTGGACTAAGTCATCCTGGGGGAAAGCCTGAGCATCTCCCCCTTTCAGGGAGTCTCAGAGCCTTTCCTCTCCATGTGGTCTCTCCACCACGGTAACCACGGTAACTGGTACTGGACTTTTCACAGTACCTCGGTGCTTTGAGAGCAATAAACAGAATCCGCCAAGCCTCCTTTAGGTTTAGTCCTTGAACTGGCTCAGTATCCCTTCTACTGCATTATACTGGATTAAAGCAGTAAGCCAAACATGCATTAAATGTGGGAGGGGATGATAAAAGTATGTAAATATCAAAGGCATGGATTCACTATGCCAGCCTTGGAAACTAGCTACCAGCAAAAGGAAAATGGCAAAAAGGAAAAGATCCTATATTCACCTTGGCAGGGCGTCACAGGTTTCCTTAATATTTTGAGCGAGGGACAGACTACGACTCCCCATAGTCCCTGATTCAAATGCCACAAGGAGAGAGACCCAACAATAAGGCAGGGCTGATGATATGCCCCACTGTGTTTTCAGCTTTAGAGAAACTGCCTTTTGCTTAGGTGCAATCTTTCCCAACAAACCTCTCTCTCCATCGGGGCTTCTAAATCTGAAGGCTCCAGGTTCCTGTTGGCCCTTGGATGGGTCATAAAGGGTCATGGATTCTTCAAAATGATACTTGAAATATTAAGTGTATGTGCATGTATGCATGATCCTGGGGAAGAGATACCTCAGACTATCCTCTAAGGTGAATTCAAATTGAGATATCTAAGGGTGCTTAGAACTCAACCGGAGACTCCCTGGATTCCTTTCTCCTGACACATCTCTGAAGTATCTTATAACTAGACATGGGGGAAACAACATACCCTTTATATATTTGCTTCCAAAATAAAACCCCCTACTCCCATGGATTAGTTGTGCCTGAACAGTTTTAGCTCTCACTACTTTCCCACCTTGACCTGGTGTTCCTACCTTGACCTGGTGGTTATTTAAGTATATATCTTGACGTTTAATTCTTCCCTCTGAAAACTCTTTCTTTTCTCTTACTCTTTTCCCTATTTATCTTCTCTCTTGAGGACAATTTAATTCTGTTAAAGAGTTTAAGTAGCCAGGAACACGACTGTGGCCTCCTTTGGCCAAGCAGGCCCCCTCAAATGCCTAGTATAAACTAACCTGAAACTAGTATAAACTAACCTGAAACTTTGGCTCATTTTATCTCCTGGGAACTCTTGCCATAAGGAAGAAGCTCAGGCTGGGCAGAACCACCTGTCTGGGATTAAAGGAAGAAGAAGGGGAAGGAAGAGCACTAGAGGCAAATTACTTGGATTTAATGGTAGAAATCATCCTAGAGTGAATTTCATAATTTCAAATTTTAAGGTAGCCTCTATAATGTCTTACAAAAGAAACTTACCTTTCCTTGCTGAAACCTTTTATCCCTAACATTCCTAGCATTCAGGAAGCCCTTCGTAAAAAAAAAAAAAAAAAACCTATTTCTCAAGAGAATCCAGCCAAGCATTTCAGCTCCTATAGACCTCCCAAACCCCTCTTCAAGATAAATGCTTGACACTATCCTCCTACCCCTTCTTTTTCTTTATAGCACTTAACATTATGGAGCAGTAACATATTTCTTGCTACCAGAATGAAGGTTCTCCCAGTGCCCACAGATACAAATTTATGTTGGAAGAACTCACAATACCAAGCCTTCTCCACACACTGAGCAGGTGAGGGTTTGTGCCTTCTTTCTTCGCTTGCACAATGGGAGAATACCTTCCATGCTCACTGGCTGGTTCAGGCTCAAGCTCTATGGATAGAACGGCATGAAGAAACCCTGGGCACTGGTAATGCCCAACTGCATTGATTTGTGTCTCAATCTGAAACATTTGTGAAAACACCGCAGCAGTTCAGAGCACTGCAGCAGACTGCAGGGCCTGATCCCCTACTTACAAGGGTGTGACTCAGTTTCTTCCCCATAAGGGCATGACAGTGATGTTCTAGGGTTGTAGAGTAAGTATTTATAAAGCACAGGATACACCAACCAACCACGGAGTCTTCCCAAAGCTCAAGAACTTCAGGTGTCAGAAAATGTCACATATGCAGTTAACATACAATATCAAAACACACTATTGAAATGAGCTGCTCAGGTTCATTAAAAGTCACAATACAAGTTTTATTTTCATTAGTTCCTGTGACTCCTTCAAATTATTTTTAAGCCAGTAATTGTACTTCTCAAGGTTTAGAAATGTGAGAATTAAAGGCAAGTTTAGTGTTGAGGAGGTGGGTATTGGGTAAAGACTCCTGGTGGAATACAAACAACCAAAAATTTCCAAAAGCCCCTGTAAGCAAGTCTCAACGTTACTATTCAATAACCAAAAAACCAAAGCCACCTGGGTACTCTCCTTTGATTAAAGTGATATACTAGAATTGAAAATACTTATATAAGAGTAACCATTACTTCATAGAGAATAAGATCACTTGGAATGTACGACATAGGTGCGTTCCATGAGGTTTCTTTTTTCTAGCAAAATCAATTCAAAACAAACTTGGATATCCTAATATTCACTTTCACGGATTCTCTTTGAAGCCATTTAGGTCTACTATTATGAAAGAATGACAAATCTACAGAAAGTATACATTAAAGGTCACCACTAAAGTATTTTAAGCTTTAATATTAACATCAACCTTAAGACTTAGCTCTTGATAAAACACTGACAGTGTGACAGAGGCACTGGCAGAGTGAAAAAGCAAAAATTCAGATTTTATTTTTAGAAGATTAGAAAAACACCCGCACAAAATCTCTTTGATCAATACTTTCAGGAAACGGAGCGAGTTACCTGGGGCACATTCAAATCTGGTAAACTTAACTTGGAAATGGACTTTCGACAACGCAGTGTGGGGAACAAGTCTCTGAACAAATCTTAAACCGCAACCTCACATTCCTCCCAAAGGTTCAAGTGGTAGTCAAAATAAATTACCATAAATTATATGCCAAGGCAATTTAAAAACAAAAACAGAACAAGAGGCTGAGGATTTCCTTAGCTCCTCCAGGAATTGTGTAACACTGTTTGTGCCTCTGGCCTGCAGGCTCGCATCTCGGGGATCGGTCAAACGTCAGGATAGTTGCAGTAATATACCGCAGAACTGGCATCAGACACCACAGAGGAGAGGGCCCCGTGACTGTCCGGGAGATTTACACTAGAATCATGTCCCTGGTAAGGGAGGCCCATCTCCGGCTTGCAAACGAAGTGCAGATACTGTTCAAACTCCGTGCGGTCCACCTCCCCGAGGAGCTCGGAGGGCTGGCTCTGGTCCGCGCCGTCCCGGCAGGGAAGCGCCTCGGGAGGCGGCGACGGCTGCCCGGGCCCCGGCGGGTGCTGCGGCGGCTGCATCTGGAAGCAGCGCGTGCCGCCTGCCGCCGCCGGCGAGCCCAGGGCACCGTAGTACAGGTGCAGGGCGCTGGGGGGCGCCAGGAGGCCCGGCAGCGCGGGGCCCGCGGGTTCGGGGCCGAGCCGGGCGTGCTGGGGTCCGGCGGGTGGCTCTGGGGGCTCCGCGTAGTCTGAGGCCTGTGGGTAGTTGTAGGCGCTCGCAGCCGCCGGGCAGTCCGCGGGCAGTGGGGCGCCGAAGAAGGCCGGGTCGGGTTCGACACCGTCCAGCGGGGACGTGTCGGGCGTGGGCAGCTGGTAGCCGTCGAGTGGGGGCAGGCCCAGGCCCTGGCAGTCGCGGTAGTGGCCGCCCATGTGCGGGGGCAGCAGCGGCGGGCCGGGGGGGAAACCCTGATCCGCGAAGGGCATGCCCAGGCCGTCCATGCCCCCGCGGCCGACCTCAGGGCCCAGCACGGCGACCGGCGGCTCCGCGAGGCTGTGCAGGAAGCCGCCCTCCACCCTCTTCAGCCGCTTCACCTGCTTGCGGCGCCGCGGCCGGTACTTGTAGTTGGGGTGGTCCTGCATGTGTTGCACGCGCAGCCGCTCCGCCTCCTCCACAAAAGGCCGCTTCTCCGCCAGCGTCAGCGCCTTCCACGACTTGCCTGCATGGGGAAGTGAGGAGAGGACCAGAGGTTACCCGCGCGCTCCCTTCCTCGCCCGGGCCTTTAACTGCGCAGCAGGAGGGAAACGGGGTCAAGTTAAAGGGTTAAGTTAAAGGGTTAAGGTCTGGGACCCCAGCTGCCAAAGGGGAGTCCGAGCACCTTAGGAAGGAAGACGCAGACCAGCTCCTCTAAACCCACCCCCTTTTTCTTTACTTCCTGACCGCGGGTCGCCCATACCCCGGCGGTTCGAGAAACTGATTCACGTCCCCCAGTGCGCGAAGGGCTCGGGGACCGATCGAGGCGACCAAGGTCAAGGCCTATCTGGCTCAGGGCCAGGAGTGCCCTAGCAGCCGCTCAGACGCGCAGGGAGGCGGTACACCACTGAGTCATTGGACCCCTGCACCCCTGGCCACCCGCACCAAAGACCGAGGCCGGAAACCAGTTTGGAAAGTTGGGAGAGCGGGAATCGGGAAGGGAACGAGTGCCCCGGAGAACGACGTGGCCGCAGCACACCCCTGGTCTAGGGACTCAAGGCCGCGTGGCAAAAATCTTTTTGGGCTCTGGTAACCAGCTCAGCGCTTCACACTGGCGCGCTTGGCGCTGAGGCTCCGGCTCGGACTCACCCAGCATCTTGCTCAGCTCCGCATTGTGCAGGTCTGGGTTCTGCTGCGCCAGCCGCTTGCGCTCGTCCTTCGCCCACACCATGAAGGCGTTCATGGGCCGCCGGATACGAGACTCGCCCTTGGCCCGGCTGGAGGCTCCGGCCGGCGCGCCGCTGCCCGCCGCCGCCTCGCCCTTCACCTTCATGTCCCCGAGGGGGCTCAGCGACTCGGCCCACGGGCAGGGGCCCAGCCCGGCCATCACCGCGGGCAGCGTGCTCCGGGCCTGGCTCTGGTCGTCACTGGCGTATCCCGCATCCGGGCTACTCATGGCGCTCCAGGCCAGCCCCGCGCCCCGCAGCCTTCGGCCGGACTTGCCGCCTCCTCCGGCCCGGAGATGCCCGCGCCCGCCTCGGGCGGAGGAGAGTGCGGGCTCGACGATCCCCACCCCACCCCCGGCCTCGACCCAGCCGCGTACGTTCCGGATCAGTCCCGACCCACAGCGCAGCCCCGCCGTCCTGGCCGGCCCAGTGACACTGCGGCGCCCGGGGTCCGCGGGGCCTTTTCTGCCCCGCGGTGGCCAATGGAGAGCCGGGGGCGGGCCGGCGGACGTCCTTAGGCCCACGCCCAGCCCGCGGCCCGAGTCCCAAGTCCGGGTTCAACCCCACGCCCGTCCCTTCCCCCTCCTCCGGCCCCGCGCTCCAGGGCTACACCTGCCCCCGGGAAAACTGGCTGGAGCCGGGCTCTGGCGCCAGGTCCCCTCCACCGGGGAAGGGGGACTCCGGAAAACTCTCTGAGGTGCTTGCCACACGGCAGTTCTGATTTTAACATACAAAGTACCGACTTACTCTCGTTTAAATCAAAACTTTATTACACGAGCAAAAAGTGTTTCAGAGGTGGGTGACCAGACTTTCTTCTAAGGCACCACACAAGTGTCTTCTTCAAACGAGTTTTTAAAGAATGCAAAAGGCACTTGATAAAAAATAGTAAAATCGCTCCCCAAGGACTCAATTTACTTTTTGTATTACATTCAAAATGCTATATCCGAGGTAAATTCGACATTTTCTAACAAAAAGACTGAATATGGAATGACGCCCTATAGGCAATATTCAGTCACCCACCCTGAAGGACTTAAAGGCTTTACTCATGATAAACCAATCCTTGAACGTCTGTACAAGAAACGTATAATAGACATAGCAAAACTATTTTTCATGTGTTTAATAAGAGACTTGTTTATTTCTAAAATGTGGTTTAAAAAAAAAAGCCAGAAAACAAAAACGGTAGTAGTATTTATCTAAATGCCAATTGTATTTAGACCTGAAAAATCTTTTCAGTGGGATTTTTAAACAAGCCCTTACATAGCACTTACAGCATGCTGTGCCCTCCAAACATTAGCAAACTCGTTTTGGCGCACATGTGTTGTAGACACTATTGAATCTTACAGCAGGGGAAACTGAGGCACAAAGGTTAAGGAACTGGCTGAGACCACAGCCATGCGGCAGGCAGGGAAGGGGTGGAATTCACATCTAGTAGTCTGCCTCCAGGAGCCCTGGTGGCGCAATGGTTAAAGCTCTCAGCTGCTGACGTTGGGAGTCCACCAGCCGCTCAACGCTGACCAGGAGAAAGATGTGGCAATCTGCTTCCTTAAAGATCACGGAGCCTAGGAAACCCTATGGGACAATTCTACTCTGTCCTATAGGGTCACTATGAATGGGAATCCACTCCACGGCACACAACAACCGTCTGCCTTAATCACTCGTCAGACTGATTGTGTTTGTGTATTTGTGTTGTTTTCTAAGGCAACGAACACAGTCATTCCTGCATAATTAAAGACAATTTTGCAAAAGAAATCAATACATCAATCTCCAGATTTTGTTTACTAAAAAGGGGTGATGAAAAAGTAGTGCTTACATCCGGGATCTGAGAAGCAAAGGGGCAGCTTTTGGTGTGATAGTATAGTGACAAAGTCATCTGTAAAGTCCGGTCCGACTTATTAGTGCCATCCATAAAAACAAAGAAACATCGGAGCCTTTGCAAACCCCTGGCCCTTTCTTCAGTTTCTTTGACATAGCTTTTTCTCCAGAAAACGCCTAGACACTTGTTTTAAACCAACTTCTCTTTAATTCTTGGAGGAACTGTGAAGCCTTGGCTGCTCTCCCTCACCCTCACCAGCCACTTAAGAAAATAGTTTTAGTTCCTGGGCATCTCAGGTTCAGACAAAAAAAGATTTAAAATCTGGTTAAGGGAATTATCCATTCCCCCCACCACAAAAAAAAAAAAAGAAAAAGTTGCTCCGGAGTCAGTTCCAACTCACAGCAACCCCATGTATGTCAGAGTAGAACTGAGCTCCATAGATTTTCAATGGCTTTTGCGAAGCAGACCGGCAGGCCTTCTTTCCAGGGCCTCTGGAAATTATAGAGGGGTGTTATTTTTAACTGATGGTTTAAAGTTGATCTTAAATTTAATTGATTATGTACTTTTCTTTTAAAGCTTCATTTTCTGGGAAAAAGGGGGGCTTTAAAATAAAGCACAAATGCAATGCAAGTGGTATATACGTAAGAAAACTAGCAATATGTCAAATTAATCCCATAGCTCCTTTTTCCGTGCTGTTTTCTTAGAGATGTTTTTCTAATTTTTCTAGATAGTAATAAATATCTTTACAAAAATTTCAAAGCAGAATTTTCTATTAGCACAAAAGCTTTTATAGTTTTCTTAGAAATGAAATTGAAAATTAAACAAAAACAATGCCTACTCCAGAATTCAGTTTATCTGTCTAAATTAATCCACTTTACTAATTCCTTAAAAATAAAAAAGGGTACAATAAATAAAATCCACATGCGAAAAGAAATTTATACCCACGGATTTATTCTTGTACACCTTCTCCATCCTTGTTCTTCCTCATCCACCCCATTACAGGGACAGATGTGCTGGGGAGCCAAGAACGGAGAAAGAATGATTCCGAAGAAAACTCGAGGGTGCCACATTATTACGTGCACTTGTTCCTGGAGCCTAGCTATTGATCTTTGTCCGGTAGGGTTATTATTGAGAGCTGAAGATGCCTAGGATGGAGTGGGATCTTCAGAGTTTGGCGCCCCTCCCCCCACTTCGTATAAAACCCTCCCCGGGAGACACAGGGCAGCAGTTTCTTTTATCATAATTCCTGGACGGAATTATGGTGCCTTCCCAAGACTAGTCCCTTTTACATACGGTTATCCTGATCTAATTTTTTCTCTTAATTCTCTTGTCATATATTTGGGGGCGACTGCAAAGCAGATCCGGCCGCAGTGTGCGGACTCTTTTCTATTTCAGTCTCTTTACCGAACGCGGCGCTGGAAGTCTAGCTCCGGGCGTTATCAGACCCGGCCACAAATGCCACATGAAAAGCAGCAAACATCCGGAATGGCTTCCTGCAAGCCTTGCTTTTCTCAACAAGAGACATTTACGCGGGAAAACACACACACACACACACACCCACACGGA